GAGAGAGAGAGAGAGAGAGAGAGAGAGAGAGAGAGAGAGAGAGAGAAGGGAATGATTACCAGCTCTTGAATGGGCCATGAAGGGGACTGACCTGATGGATGTGGTGCTTGAGGAAAATTGTTCTCCCTCTCTCTCTAACCCTTTGCCCCCTGTCTCTGCACAGACTGCAGTCTGAGAGGCTGTTGTGTTAGACCAGGCATGAAGTGATAAGAGTCTGAACCAGGCTGCTGACAGCATGGAGTGGACAGGATGCTTTGGAGGGATAGGAACAACACTTGGCTGGCAGAGAATGGGGGGAGGCATCGAGAGATATTCCAGAAACATTAAGCTCCTAGGGGCTGGAAGGACAGTGGGGTCGCTGATATAAAGGGAGAAGCTGTGGAAGGGCTGGTTTGGGGGCACTGGAATAGGCTGAGGCTGCCCTGGCTAGACTGTTTGAGGGTGGGGCTCAGGGAAGACTAGAGGCCCCAGGACTTTGTACTTTGGTTGCCAGGGTGACCATCGTGAGGAGGAGGAAGAGGCGCAGATGAAGAAGTCAGAATCAGAAGTGGAGGTGAGGCGAACTTGTTCTGAGGTTGTGGCAGTAGGAGGGTCAGGGAAGCTCCCCTGAGTCCATCTGAGCTCTAAATTCTATGGCACCCCTTGTCCCTGGAGAGTGGAGTCCACTCAATGGGGGTGGGGCCAGAGGCCAGTGGATCCTTGGCCTTGGGGAAGGGCTGGGATGGGATGTTGCTCCTGACTGGACTTCGTTGGGGCTCCAGGAGGCAGCCGCCATCATTGCCCAGCGACCTGACAACCCCCGGGAATTCTTCAAGCAGCAAGAGCGAGTGGCTTCAGCTAGCAGCTGTGAAATGCCCACCCCCTTCAACCACAGGCCAGGTATCCTCACACTTGGTATTCCGGGCCCTCTGACCAAGGGTTATGCTTAGCTCCTGGGGTTGAGGGAAGAAGCTTCTCTCACCCTGGCCCCTGCAAAGCTAATTCCCCCAGCCACCAGGGGATTGGGAAGGGGGAGTCCTGTAGAGGAATATTCCTTCATCTGGGTACCCAGGGCTGCCTCCATGGGGAGGAGGCACTGGGGGAGAAGGAGGGATACACATACGGCCAATCCATCAGAAGCCCCTAACCTGGAGCAAAACAGGAGTCATGCAGGTGCTCTCCCTCCTGGGGGCTCAAAGGGAACAGACTCGTGGTAAAGGACTAGGAGAACTCTTCCTCAGACAACAGCCAAGAAGGGGCGTTCAGGGCTGTCCCAACCCCGACCAGGCCCATCCCTAAGCTAAGAAAAAGGACACAGTGGGGTGCATGTGGGAGGAGGGAGGTAGAGAGAAGACTCGTTTCGGGTCTTTCCTAGGGCTCGTACCCTCAGAACTTGGCCCAGTTGTTAGTGTTGCCCGGAGATTCATCATGGAGGAGCGTTGGGCTCGGCCCGTGCTGAGGCACTGACCTCCAGGGCAGCTAGAACAAGGGTGGTGGGGAGGCCCTAGCTAGCGGCATTAGATTATACCCTTTGGCAGCCTGATTGTCTGAAGCGGGCCTGCCAGGAGCAGGCAGCCTTGGGCTTTGTGCCTACCTTGACTCCCGGCTGCCCCCTGGCACCACGCTCAATGTTGCCTGCCTGGCAGGACTTGGGAATGAGCTGGCCGTGGTGTGCTGTGGCTGTCTCTCTAGAGGTGCTGCCCTGTGGGACTGCTGGCTTTCCGCTTTCCTCGCAAGGTGGGCTTAGGCTCGCTGGGGGCCTGGCTACACTAGTCCGGGGACTTGCACCTTGAGCTTTGAGGCTGTGCCACATTGTCAGTCATTCCCTAATCCTCGAAGCAGTGTGACCACTGCCAAGGCATGTGCCCTGGCACCAAGGGGGCTCTGCTTCCTACCTGTGCTGCAGTTATCCCTGCTTACCCCAGCCTTCTGATGCCAGGGGCAAGAGCAGGGGAAAGGTCAGGCCCATTCACGCATCTTCCATATTGCCTACAGTTTGCCTAGCCATGGGCATAAAGGCATGTGTTTGGGGGTGATGGGGGGAAATATCCTTATACCACAAACCTCTATCTTTCTGTCTGGAGTTGTCACCTCTGGAAGCTCCGCTCAGTGGCCTGGCTTCATGGGCATTGGGGGGGCTGGGGTTCCCCAATCATGCTTGACCCTTTGCTGGCTGAGGAATCCTGTGTGTCCTGGGGGTAGGATGTTGTACAGGTCTGCAAGTCCCCAGCCTGAGACTAATTCCACCAGTCTAAGCTGTGTTGCATGCCAGTTACCCTGCCCGCCCCAGCCTTGTGATGCTGAGCAAGCCACCTAACCTCTCTGTGCTTCAATTTCCTCATCTGTAAAATGAGGGAGTTGGATTCAGTGGCCGCTAAGGTCCCTTCCAGCTCTGGATCTGAGACCCCCTGACTCTTCTGAGGTCAGGGACGGGAGGTTGGGATCGCTCTGTGGCTCTAGTGTCAGTCAGTATGACCTGGGCTCTCTGCCCAAGGCAAGGGTTTGTTGGGCCCAAGTCTCTCCCCCCGCCCCACCCGGGACCAAACGTGGAATTCATCTGATGGTTCCTGGAAGGCTTGGGGGCAGGGGCCTCTTCAGGGGAAGACTGACTCTTCTCTTCTGCTCTCTTTCTGTCTCGTCTGTCTTTGTCTTTTAGCAGGTCGTCCGTACTGTCCTTTCATAAAGGGACCGGACAGTGGGCCGTCTTCCTCTTCCTCCTCTTCCTCTTCCCCTCCTCGGACTCCCTTCCCCTATATCCCCTGTCACCGCACCCCAAATCTTTCTTCTTCCTTCCCATGTAGGTAGCAGCTCCCAGGCCATGGTGGGGGGGTGAGGAGGGCCCCTCATTCCAGCGCCCCCTCTCCCACCTAGGCCCCCACCCCCTTGCGCTCGATTTTCCCCAGGGCCAATCAGTGACTGTCTGTGCTTATCCCCAGAACTGACTCCACTGCTCGTCCCTCCCCAGGGGCAGGGATAGCTTCCACCGGCCCTGCAGGGCTGACACAGCACCAAGCACCACCGGTTAGGTGCTCAAAATAAAGGTTTGGGAGCACCAGGGATCCGCTCAGCCGCCCTGGTACTGGAGAAGTGACAGACTTCCCTGCCCCAGCCCAGTTTCTTCCCGTCTCCAGGGAGGAGTCAGGAGGCCCCAGCTGGGGCAGGAGGCGAGAAGGCCCCCCCCACCTGCCGCCCAGGGGGAGATGAGACGGAGTCGACCACCCAGGAGAGCCGCTCAGCCCAGCCCTACCCCTGGCACCCGGCTCCACTGGGACCCCTCCCTGACGACCCTCCCTTGTTTTTCTTCACAGGCAGCCAGATGGACAGCCACAGGAGGGCTGCAGCGGCAGCTGCCCGGAGCCCCTCGGACTCCAGCTCCGCCTCCACGCCTGTGGCAGACCAGATTGATCGGGCCCTGGATGAAGTGACATCCTCACAGCCACAGCCTCTCAGCAGAGGTAAGGGACTCAGGGTGGTTTGGGGATGAGTAAGAGGGTGTTCAGTGGCACCCCCCCCCCAGGCATACATACATACATACACACACACACACACACACATACACACACACACACACACATACACACACACACACATACACACACACACACACATACACACACACACACACACACACTTTCATTCTGAAAACTACAAGGTGCCGTTCAAAGGCTAACTGGGCCCAAGTCATAAATGCTTGCTCCAATATCTTAGAGGGAGGAGGCGCCTGATACCTGTGGAACAGTAGGTCTGTTCTGTCCTGCAGACTGGAGGTGAAGACAAATTCTAGCCCACTGAGACTAAAGTAGGAATCCTTTCTCTTCTCAGAACAATGTCCCAGGTGGAGAACCAACATAGCTCTGTAGACCTGGGCTTTACAGAACTCCATAGATAGATCTCAGGGAGTCTGTACACTTGGATGGGAAAAACAAATTACATCTTTATTTTTACTCTGGTTGGTTTCTTTTGCAATCTTATACATTTTATCTTATGCATTTAAAAACATTATTCTGAGAAGTGGTCCATGGGTTTCACCAGATGGCCAGAGGGGTCCAGGACACAAAGGGTAAATAGCCCTGCTGTAGAAGAACCTTAGAACATCAGCTCTGGGACAACTGGAAGGGACCTAAGCAATCACTTCTAGTGCAGTTACCTCATTTTACAAAGGAGGAGACACACAGAGAGGGGAGAAAGAGAGGGGAGAAAAAAAGAGAGGAGAGAGAGAGAAGAGAGAGGAGACAGAGAGAGAGAAAGAGCGCTTTGTCCAAGGTCAGATGTAACCCCAATGGAGAAACAGTCAGAATTAGCACCTAGGGGATCTCAAAGCCTAGACCAATGTTCTTCTCACTATTATTCTCTGCCTCTTATCTTTGAGGAGCCACGGTTCTCTTCAGTTTGAGAAAAATTGCTTTTCTCCTGCTACTAGGGCATAGGAGGTGGGCACTATAATGCTCCCTTCCCCCCAAGTCCCTTTGTATTGTAGATACAAGTAGATAGAAGTGGAAAGTATCTCAGAGGTCACCTAGTCTAACTTCCTTGTTGTTCATGGGGAAACTGAGGGCAGGGAGGGTAAGTAACCTGTTCAAGGACACACTGGTCATGTCAGAAGCAGGATTTAAATCCTGGTTCTCTGACTCTGGAGCCAGTGCCAGCCTCCTTCATCCTCTGCTGGTCACTGGGGGAAGATCACTTCCCCTCCCCACCCTCAACCAATCTCCTTGTTAGGGTTATCTGGTCTCCTGAGATGGGACCCCTTCAAGTCAAGTCAAGCCAACAAATCTTTATTTATTAGGTGCTTACTGTGTGCCAGGCACTGTGCTAAGCTCTAGGGATATAAGGAGAAAGGAGAAAGCTGAGCAGCCCAGAGACTGGCTTAAAAGGTCACAAAGGCAAAATCAGGATTCAAACCCAGACCTTTTGACTCCTCAGTCCAGTGCCCTTTCTACTAACATTACATGACATCTGGTTCCTAGGGGCTCCTGTGAATGGAGCTGGATGGTTGGATGAGAGCTGCTGAGGCCAGGGCCCCTTCCTCCCCCTCCCCCAGCATTCCTCTCTGAAGAATGACATTTACCTTTGACCTTTCTGACCTTTACCCTCATAGAGCCCATCGCAGAGTCCTTGTTGGAGAAGGAGCCTCCAGGAGAGACAGCTGGGCCCCTGGAGGACTTGGTGTTTCTGGAGACCAAAGAGGAGGTGGGGGCTGCAGATGCAGCAGCCCCAGTTGCTTCTGCTGAGAGCTCTGAGGAGATAGAGCTGGCTGAGCCTGCTGGCCCCCCTGAACCACCAGCTCAGGGGAGCCTCATCGACTTGTGGCAGAGTGATGGGGTTTCCCCTCCCGAACCCACAGAATGGGAGCTGCAGGCTGATCTAAGGGCTCCAACTCCACCCCAGGAGGGGCCTGGAGCCATACTGGAAGAGTCCCAATTGGTAGCCCCTCCAGAGCCTCCTCCACTGGGGGAGGGGGCACCAGAACCCCCCATACTGCCTGCTGACAATAGTGCCAACCTCCTGAACTTCGATGAGCTGCCTGAGCCTCCAGCTACGTTCTGTGACCCTGAGGAGGGTGACCGTGAAGCCCCTGATGTGGGCGGGATGGAGGGGTCCCACCCTGGCTCTGAACAAGATGTCCTGGTGGCCGAGACCCTGCCCATGGACTTGGAGGAGCTGGAACCAGAGCAGGAAGCCCACTTGCTAACCAATGGAGAAACCACCCAGAAGGAGGGGACACAGGTGGGGGATCAGAGGGAGGCCTTCTGGGACCTGGGGGAGAGGCAGGAGGAAGGGTGCAAGCAGTTGGGGGGTTTCGTGTGGGAGTAGGCTCTGGGCTCTATCAGTTCCCTCCCAATGTCCCTCCCCTACTGGACCCACCTCATCTTCCGGTGCTACCCCCCATATTCGTCACCATCCCTTTCTAGGGCCAGACCAGCCCTCGATTTTCCTTCCTACTCCAGAACTCTATTCACAGAGCCTTTTCTTCCCCTCCCCCCAAGATCAATGCCTCTGACCACTTCTTTTTTCTCTTAATCCTTTATTAACACCTCATCACTCTTCCTCCTCTTCTTCTCTTGCTTAGAGGCCCGAGCACCCCCCCCCCATCAGTTGCCCTTCCCTCTCCTGTAGGCTGCATCAGCACCCTTCATTGACCCCTCCCATGCTGAGGATCTAATTGCCTGGATTAATTTTGAGGAAGCCCAAACTCTATGACCAGAAATGGGGGTGGTTCGGGGCTCCCATACAGCCTGCCTCAGTCTTTGTCCTTTTGCTTAGGACCCAAAGCAAGGCATCTGCATTTCCCTGGCAACCAGGGATGGCATCAAAGAGATTACCTGTCTCTGGTTGCTGGGGTAATAAGCTCAGTGCCTAATAGGTTCTTCCCTCCACATGTTCCTTCCTGCCCCCCTCCTCCCCCTCAGCCTACATAACACACCTTGGGAAAAGGTGAAACTGCTGGCCAGCTGAGCCTGATGACCTTGAGTTTTCTCAATGCAGGCCAGTGAGGGATATTTCAGCCAATCACAGGATGAGGAGTTTGCCCAATCAGAAGAGCTATCTGCTAAAGCCCCACCTCCTGTATTCTACAACAAACCCCCAGGTAAGGGATTGGGTGGGATGGAAGGCTGGGCAGGGATTCCTGTTGATGGATCAGTTCCTGGGCTTTTGGAGGCCAGGCCTTTTGTCATGCTCGAGGTGTTTACCTGTATGGAGATCATAGGATTTAGACTTGTGTTCCTCCCCCCCTCCCCCATTTTATATGTGAGGAAACCGAGGCTCAGGTACTGAGCATGTCCCAGTTCTTTGTTTAAAAACAGGTCTAAGGATAAGTTTGTGGGTGATCTCCATGGGTTCTCTTCCCCACCTCACTTGTTGCTGCCTTAGCAAGGACTGAGCCAAGTCCTGAGAGAAGACTCCTATAGTTGGGTGCCTTGTCAAGAAGAGTATGTATGGAGCTGGGGGAAGAAGGGAGTATCATTGTTTAGAATATCAGAATTGACATTAGCAAGACAGCTGGATTTGAACCCAAAGGACCTGAGTTTGAATTTCAACTATGCCATTTATTATTACCTGTGTGACCTTGAATAAGTCCAGAATGTTCTTTTTCTAGACCTCACTTTCTTCCTCTGTAAAGTGAGGGATTTGGACTCAATCTCTATGATCCGATGAAGGTCACAGCCAGGGTGGAGAGATAGGGGGCAAGGAGAGGGACCAGCTAGCTCTTCAGCTTGACTCCTGATTCTGTCTTCACTCTCCCACCAGAGATCGACATTACCTGTTGGGATGCGGACCCTGTGCCTGAGGAAGAGGAGGCCTTTGGAGGCAGTGTCTAGCCCTTCCGGTTAGGTCTCCCCAGGCAGACACCATGTGAAGGCCGCCCACTCTCTGGGCTCCATGCCAGCTGGCCCGTCGCGCCTTCGCCCGCAGCATTTCCACCTGGTTGGTGGTGACTCTGGACTCCCGGCCCCTGTCCCGGAACGGGGCCACCTCCCCATTCCCCTGTCCTGCCATGGGGGGGCCCAGACTTTTATAGCTTTTCTCCCTTTTTTTTAAAAGTTGATAGGAAAAGTGTACAGTTGACTGGTTTTCCTCTCTGTTGGTAGTGAGATGCTGTTCCATACCCTCCCCCTCCATATCCCTTGGGGTTGAGGAGGTAGATCTCTGTACCCCCCTTCAGCTCTCTTGGCCTGTATCAGAGGCCCAGACCCCAGGCCTGGCCAGCCGTCCCTGGGGTTGCTTTCAGACTCCAGGGAGAATGGTTCTCCTTATACACAACCTTTTCCTAATTTTTGTTTTGTTTTGTTTTGTTTCTTGAAAAAATATCACTCACTGCATTCTCTGTCCAGGGCTTGGATAATTTGCACGAATTTAAAAACATGGCAATAAATGGCTCTGTGGGCTCTGGTTCCATGGGACCCCTCCCTCCCCCTCCCCCCAGGAGTAACCCAGCTGGGGTCAGGCCAAGGTGGAGTCCTCAGGCCAACATGGGTTAGGGTGACAGTAAGGAGACTTCTCCTATCCCTGTAATGGCTCCTGAGTGAATGGGAGGGGGAATTTTTACCATCTGCCATCCTCCCCTGGCCCTGGCCTTTCAGCCTTCTCTAATGTTGCCCTCCTACTGGGCAGGTCCCGGGCTGGAGGCCTCTATATGGCTCACATGGTCCCCTTGGCTCAACTGGGCCATGGGAGGGGCCTAGGTGGTAGGGCTGTTGGGGTACTCCCTCCCTCCCCCAGGAACCAGCCCCCTCTCCCAAACTGCCCTCCTCTTGTCGCTTGGTATCCTTTTTCACGTTTAGTAACTGTTTTTGGAAAGCACAAACTTCTGTAATGGCGTGTGCTCATGTCTGTTAATAAAGAAATCCAGATCCAGGCCCTGGCTCTGGACTTCCTAGGGGCTGGGAGGGCAATCCCAGCGTATCTTCCCCATCCTCCCACTCCCCCATTTCCCTGGACTCTGTCTTCATCTCCCAGCAGGTATAACTAGTTGAGGAAGCAGGGTGGGGCCGCCTCTACCAGGTAGGGACAAAACCAGGAGCAAAAGGAAAGCCTGGAGACAAGGTGATTCACACCACTAGGAGGAACTAAAGCCCCCACTCCTTTGCACTAGCTCTTGTAACACAAGATCATGTATTTAGAAGTGGGAAGGAGCCTCAGAAGCTATGGAGTCTAAATTCTTCATTTTACCAATGGAAGAAACTTAGAGGTGTCAAATGACTTACCCAAGGTCACAAAGGTTGTAAGTAGCAGAAGTGGAATTTGAATTCAAACCCCTCCCCCCATCCCTGTATTCTTTCTACCATGACAGTTTTCCAGAGGAATCTCAAAGGGCCCTTTGCCTGAGCTGGGAAGAGAAAAAGGAAGGGGTCACTGGCCCAAAGTGTGTGGATCAAATGTAGTGTAAGGTGATTGGACACTGAACTGTCCTCTCTGTCCTGTGACCCTGACTTGGGAAGGGACAGTTCTCAAGCCAGGTCTACCCCTGTCCTGCAGAGATTGGAAGGAACTGTGCTGGAGCAGACTCAGCAGCCGCTCTCTAGACCCTTGGATGACTATTGATCACCATTGGACGCTGGAATAGCAGTATCATGATGCAGAGAATTATAGGGTTTAGAGAATGACATCATGTAGTCTAACATTTTACATAGGAGGAAACTAAGGCACAAAGAGGATAACTTGTCCCAGGTCACAGGTAGCAAAAGGCAAGAGTTTGGCCTTAACTCATCTGACTTTATCAGTCTTTCCACTACACCATGTCAGTTATTGGCCGTGTGACTGTGGGGAAGTGACCTCCCTGTTTCTAAAATAAGGCTGCACTTAACTTGACCTCTGCCATTCTTTAAGTTTGGCATATCCAAGGTAGTGGTGATGATCTGCTCATAGGATTTAGAGATAGAAGACTTCAGAAAGCATCTGAAGGAGAATTCTGTCCAAATATCTGTGCCTCCAGGGAAAGCATGTTTTACTAGGCATGGGTCCACACTCCAGGTTTCCGAATTTTATTCCTTGGTGCTCAGAGGCAACAAACCAGTGTGGTATGTTGCAAAGAGCCCTATAATTTGAATCACAGAGTGAGGAGTTCAAATCCTGGTTCCTCCACTTACTAGCTAGCTATGTGACCTTGGGCAGCCACTTAATCTAATCTGGGCCTCGGTTCCCTTAAAGAGGGAAAGACGATATTTTGCGGATGTAAAACAAGGTTTAAAACATTAGATTAATCCTAGGGTCTTTTTCTAGCTCTCATTTCTATGATCTAGACCCGCTCTGCCCCTGCCCCCCCAAGTCTTAAGAGGAAGCTGAGCCCCAGAGAAGAGACTTTCCCTGGGTCATACAGGTAGCTAAGTGGCAGAACTCAGGTCTTGGGATTTCAGATACAGGTCTTTCTACTCTCACTTGAGCTTCCAGAGAGGTCTCTGAAGGTGGAGCTGGCAGAGATTAGGCTGCAGACCAGGGGATCAAACATAGTGGGAAGGATGCCTGGGGTAGGGGATGCCCCTTTTCCCCTTTATTCCCACCCCTGGGTGCAAGCAGCAGGCTCTCCCTCCCATTGTACCAAAGCCGATCACACACCTTTATTATCCTCAAAATGTAACAAACAGGGTAAGAAATAGCCCCGAGTCCCAGGGAAGCGTTTTAAAAACCCCCGAGGCCTAAGAAAGGAGTCTGAACGGCCTGCCCTCGGGGAGGGAGAAAGGGAGGAAGGCGCGGGGCAGGGCAGGGAATGGGGCAGCGCTGGCTCCGGTCCGGGCGCTTAGCCCCTGGGGTGGGGCCAGGGGGCAGGGGCTCGGGCCACCCCCTCTATACGGCTGTAGTCCTCCCGAACAAGGGGATGGAGACGGGCAGGCGCCAGGCTCCGTTCTCCAGTGGGTCGCGGTTGCTCAGCTCCGAGTCGGTCCAGCTGGGGAAGACGCGGCGGGGGCGTTCGGCCGGCAGGTAGGGGGCGGGACGGGGCGGGCCGGGCCGCGGGGCGCTGGGCAGGTGCAGCGCCGACGAGTAGCCCCGGTCCAGAAAGAGCGGCTTGTAGTTGGGCGGCTGCTCCTGCTTCTCGGAGCTGTCGCGGCTCAGGAAGGGTGTCACGATCTTGCGGTAGAGGCCGCGCGTGTCAGTGAGCACCTCGCTGTAGGGCGGCGGCGGTTCGGCCATCAGCACCGCCTCCTCGTAGCACGGGGGCTTGGAGAGGTCCGATTCGGCTGCGAGAAGCCCATGGCCAGGAGTCAGGTTCAGGGCCCTGGGGACACGTTTCCCTCCCCGGGTCCCCACCGCACCCTCCGCTCCCCATCCTTTCAGGCAACCCCCGACCTCCCTCGAGGCCTCCCAAGCACTCCCCTCATCCGACCCCCAGCTCCCAAGGCTGACCGAGGTTCCCTCTTTCCAAGCTGCCCTGCCCCCCTCCTCATAGCCCCCCCCAGGTCGGTCAAGCCTCCAGCCCAACACCCTCCCAGGTTTGTGTAGTCCCGTCCCCTCTTCCTGGCCGCAGCCCACTTGGGGCGCCCACCTTGGCGCGGGTAGCTCCAGGGCCGGGGCGGCACCAGGACATGAGGCGGGTGCGGATGAGAGTGCGGATGCGAGTGGGGCGGGTGCGGGTGATGATGGGCTGGGTGGGGCTGGTGCTGTGGTGGGGCGGAGTGGTGCAGGGCGTGGGTATGGCCGGGGGCCTCCAGGCGGACTCGGGCCTGCGGGGCCAGTCCTGGGGCCAGCCCCAGTCCCAGTCCGGGGGGGCTCCCGGCCAGGCTGCCCTCCAGCTCCAGGGGCTCAAGTGGCTCCAGGGGTTCGAGCTCCAGAGCGCGCAGGTTCTGCTCCCGCAGCCGCTCCTCGTGGCGCCGCTTGAGTCGGCGGCGGAGGAAGCTACAGAAGCAGCAGAGCAGGACCACGAGGCCCCAGATGAGCCAGAAGCCGGCGAAGCAGGTGAGGAAGGTGTAGGTGCCCTGGGACATCACCATCTTGGCGGCAGCGGATGAAGGGCTGGGCTGGGGTAGGGGCGGCCCAGGCTCAGTGGGCGCCCCGGGCCCGAGCCATGGAGTCACTCAGCAGTCCTCTCACTCCCCTGCGAACATCGCTGGCCTGGGGCGGGGGCCGGAGGCCGGAGCAGGCGACCCCTTAGGGGTTGGCCGCTAAGAGCTGAGCCGTGGGCCTCGCTGTCCGTGGAGCGCTGACCGAGGCCGGGGGCTGCCCACGTCCGGCGGGGGCGGGCGGGCGCGGGAGGCAGCGGCTGGTCGCCCAGAGCCTGCCCCGACTCATTCCCATCGCTCCCGCAGGCCCCGCGGCTTGGGCACCTACTCAGCCACGGGCGGGCTGGATCTGTGAGGGGCAGAGAAAAGGGTAGGGAGGATGGTCAGCTCCGGACTGGGCCTGCCTGGTCTTTACGTGCCTGCTTCCTTCCTCTCCCTTCACCTTCTTTCTCTCTCGTCGTTGCCTTCTCCCTCCTCCTTTTCTCCTTCCTTCTCTGCCTCCCCCTCCCTGTGTTCCTTGCCTGACCCCCCATTCCCCATATCTTCCTCTTTACCTCCTCTCTCTCTTTTCCTCTTCTTCTTTTCCTTTTCTATCTCTCCCCTCCTTGCCGGCCAAGCTCAGAGGGTAACTGTTCCCACTCACCCCACCTTTCAGAGCAGACACTCTGATCTGGTCCCTCCCTCTACTATCCTGTCGCTTGATCCTCCAGTCCCTTGGGGAATCAGCTTGTGACTTGTGGTTGGATTGAGAGGACCAGTAGGATGGATAGTTTTGCTCTAGCAACTTTGGGGCAGGGGAAGGAGGTGTAGTTTGCAGGTTGAAGTGAGGGGAGGCACCACTGCTGAACTGAAGGCAGATAAGCCTGGGGGAAATATTGCAGTCCAGGGAACTTGGTTTAGGGTAGTATCTGCAAGACTCTCTGAAACCAAGAAACCTTGAGCTCAGACTAGAACCACTATGCCTGAACTAGTTGGGTGGTCTGCAGGAAGTGGAAGGAGGGACTGAATTGTCCGGTTGTGCCAGAAGGGGAGGAGGAGCTGACAAAGTGGGTGGGGAGGAAAGCCTCTAAAAGGGGCAAATGTAGGACAGACAGGCAGGAGGACCAGCTGCCCTCAGACCCCTAAAGAACATTTGCTTTCAAAGGATCTGTTGCTTTCTTTAGCTTTTGCCAGACGTTGTAGTGATTTTTGACCCTAATGTATTTTCAGGGATTGGGTTGGTTCAGAGGGCTGGCAAAATAATCTTCTGAATGAATTGGTCTGACCATTGAAACCTTCACTCAATTATGAGTTTCCAACTCTGAAGATCTTTTGTGACTCTATTGCCAACACTAAAGGATTAAACAATCTCAGGCATTAAAGGCCCTTTACACTCTGAATCCAACCCCAGTCTTATTTCCGCTTCATTCTGCTCTGTATTCTAGACAAACTGGACTCTAGCTGTTCCCCAATCTTATCCTGGCCTTTCTGGCCTCCATTCATTTTTAGTAGGCTTCATCTTTGCCTGTTGAAATTCTCTCACTTCCAAGGCCAGTTCCTCTTCCCCAAGGCCTACTTGTTCTTCTAGTTCCTGCCCCACTCCCCCCTGCTCAGATTTCCCTAGACTACCTTGCCTAGATCTCTCCTCTGCCCCATCACCCTCTACCTTGTAATCACATTCATTTGTGTACATGGTAGACAACCCCCCCCCCCCCCCTTAATTATAAACTTCAGGAAAGCAGGGCCTCTTTCCCCAACCTGAAGACAAGGCCTTGCTTAAGGCAGGTGTTCAACAAATTTTCATTGAATTTAATTTGTTAGGGAGGGAAAGTCTGAGGGGAAAGGGAAGGTGTGGAGAGAAGAGAAGGAAGGTGGAGAGAGGGCCAGTGTTGGAGGTCAGGAAGGATGGGAGATCGATAGGCTAGTGAGGGGGTGAAGGCATGTGTGTAGAAGAGGGCCAATATAGGGGAAGAGGAGTGCTGGGAGTGGGAGGGCATCTGTGAGCAGAGCTCTTTTGAAGGAGCCAGTTCCTGGCTTCTAGGTTAGAGTTTAATCCTTTACTGATTTCCCTCTCCCTACCCTCCATGTCTCTTCCTCTATCCCCATTCTCAGATCCTGCTTGATGCCCTCCCCCGGGACCAGCGTCCCCCAGTGGCGCAGAGTGACTGATGATGTCACTGGAGATGACGACGTCACTAAGGCTTCCCCCTGGTCGCCAGGCGTTCGTGTTCCCAGGTTCACTCCCCAAATATGAGCAGGAGGAGGGTGTAAGCTCAGGTCATTCCACTGAGATCCCAGGCCTGCACCAGGGCGAAGCTTGGGGTAAGCTAGAGAGTTTGTTAAAGTCTCAGGCAACCTTAAAAAGGGAACTCCAAACTTCCCTTAACCGTGCATTTTAAATTCTCTCTCCTGGCAGCTGTCCAAGCCTTGGAAGGAAACAACAGAAAGCTCCTCTGCGACTGTCAGCCCCCCTTTCATGTCCCAAACCTTGCTAGGGACTTGCTCTCGACAAGTTCACCAATTTTCTCTTCCCAGTCCTCTATCTGAGCTCGACCGCACGGGGTAAAAGCTTTGGGTGGGTGCCAGGGGCCCTCTGGCACCCTGAGAGCCTCCATGCACAAAGCTGACAGGTCGTTTCAGATATGTGTGGGGGCGGGAAGGGGGGGGGGGCATGAGACAGCAACAGAGGCCGAAGTCAGAAAAGTAATCTGAGGGTCCTGGAGGGAGGGAGGGAGGGAAGTTCGAGGACTTGGCCGGTCTTCCTTCGGATGCTTAAAGAGAGCCGTGAAATATAGTAATAATAGCCTATAATTCTATAACTCTTGCTTAGCACATAGTAGGCGCTTAATAAATGCTTATTGACTGACTAATAAATGCTTGTTTCTTTCCTCACAATAACCCTGCAAAGTAGTGCAAACAAAGATATAGGGAAAATCAAGCCCAGAGAGATTGTGACTTACTTGCCCAGGGTTACAGAGCTTGAAAGCTTAATGTGGCAAAGTCCACACTAGAACCCAAGTCTCTCGGCTGGGGCTCTTTCCACTACACCATGGTGCCGCGCTGACTGGAAGCGTCCCGATTTCTCCTAAACCCATGGGCATGGAGCCCGTGCCCCTGCCCCTCCCCGCTCCCTAGGCATAGCCTGTAGACATCTACCCTGCCGCGCCTTACCCATATGCCAGAGACATAACCGAACACATTGTACATGCATGTGCCGAAGTCTACACGTGCAGAGCAGCGTTTTATGGAAGCGGCCATGGGCCACTCTTCCACGTACCTCCCAAATCCTGCCCTGGCCACCCCTCTATTCCCCAAGGCAGCACACTCGCCTTGGGGCCTTGTTCTCCTGGAGACTCCCGGAGATACCAACCTCCTGGTCTTTACCAACGCCCCCAGACGCTTAGACACAGCCCGGGTTTCCCCCACTGGTGGTACACACCCGCCCACTACCATCCAGCCCAGTCCCGCCCCGACACACCTGGGGGAAGCACCCCCAGCCTTCCCGTGGTCGTTTCTGCAGGTAGGGCGGGGGCGAGGCGGGCTCCGTAAGAGCTCAGGAATAGCTGGGCGGGGGCGGACTCGTGCCAGGCCCCGCAACGTGCACCCAGCCCGAGAGGTGTTGGTGGTCCAGAGGCTGAGCGGAGAGCCTGGCGAGAGTGAGGGTCCCTTTGTTTCTTCGATGCTCACTGAATGGGGTGGGGAAAGAGTTCAGGGTTGGCCTCTCTCTGCGCTAGCTGCCCGGAACACTCCCAGCTCAGGGTGTCTTTCTCTCCCTCCTTCCCGCTGTCGCATTCCCGCCCCCCTCACTGCCTGTCACACTCCTTCCCTCCCCCATTTCCTTGTCCTCACCCCCTCCCTCTCTCCATCACACTGCATTTCCCTTGCCAAGCCTCTCCAGTCCCTTTTTCTGCCTGAGGGAGATGGCAAGGATGAAGGCTGGCATCTTCTCCTAGAGAGAGGGGAAAAAATAGATATGGGCATGGGAAATGGGAGCCTCCGCTTCCTCTTCTGGCACAGGGTCTTGGGGCCATTCAGCCGTCAGTGGCTGCCTGGACTCTTTTCTCTAATGATCATCTGGTTCCTCTGAATCTCCAAGGTCTGGCACCTCAAACCCAGCCACCTCAGCCATTCCACTATGGAAGTGGATTCTTCCTGCCCATAGGTGTTTAGAGCCCCGGGCAGGCTTCTGTTCTTCCCATGGACAGCCCCACTCCCTCGACAGATGTAACCTGACCATCCAGATTTCACAGGCACTTAAAATCCAACTCAAGATCCATCTTTTCCAGGAAATCTTCCATGATTCCCCCTAGGTGGACTTCTCTCAGACCTCACATTAACTTTTTGTTTTCTCAATTCTTTAATGTTTCTCTCAGGCTAGGCAACTGTGGTTGTCTAATGGATAAGGAGATCAGCCTCAGAGTCAAGAAGACCTACCCACCTGGGACACATATTAGCTATGTAACATTGAACAAGTCACAACCTTTCAGTGCCCCCGACAACTCTCTAAACCTACAAATTATAGACTGTTTTCCACATTGGGAGTTTTTTATACTGAGGAAATCATAGGACCAGACCAAAATGTCTTTCATAGGATCTAAAGCTGAACAGTAATTTGGATCTTATCTAGCCCAACCCCCTCATCTGACTGATGAAGAAGCTCGGGCCCTGGGGTGGAGGTGGGGGCTGGGAGTGTTTGAGGTTGCACAAGGAATAAGCAGGAGAATAGGAATAGACCCAGTCCTCTGATTCCAAATCTTTGCACCATACCACGATGATGCACTTTTCACGTAACGTATATTATAGAAATCAGTCTTGTCCCCCTAAACTTTACATAAGCTCCATGAGGACAGGGACTGTGTTTTGGCTATGTTTATCTCCTAGAACAATTCTTTGCACATTTGTTGTTCAGTCGTGTCTGACTCTTTGTGACCCCATTTGGGGTTTTCTTGGCAAAGATACTGAAGTGGTTTGCCATTTTCTTCTCCAACTCATTTTACAGAGGAGGAAACTGAGGCAAAGGGGGTTAATCGACTTGCCAAGAGTCACACCACTAGTAAGTGTCTGAGGTCGGCTTTGAACCCAGGTCTTCCTGACTCCAGACCCAGCCCTTCATCCACTTCACCTCCTAGCTGCCCCAGCAGGTGCTTTATAAAGTG